GTCTAATATTGACAGTGGGGTGTTAAAAGTCTCCCACTATTATTGTATGGGAGTCTAGGTCTCTCTGTAGGTCTCTAAGAACTTGCTTTATGAACATGGTATGTAGACCAATGGAACAGAACAGAGGCCTCAGAAATAATGCCACATATCTGCAACCATCTGATCTTTGACAAACCTGACAAAAACAAGCAATGGGAAAAGGATTTCCTATTTAATAAATGGTGTTGGGAAAACTGGCTAGCCATATGTGCAAAACTGTAACTGGCCCTCTTTGGTTATACCTTATACAAAAATTAACTCAAGGTGGATTAAAGACTTAAATGTAAGTCCTAAAACCATAAGAACCCTAGAAGAAAACCAAGACAATACCATTCAGGTCATAGGCAGGGGCAAAGACTTCATTACTAAAATGCCAAAAGCAATGGCAACAAAAGCCAAAATTGACACATGGGATCTAATTAAACTAAAGAGCTTCTGCACAGCAAAATAAACTACCACCAGAGTGAACAGACAACCTACAGAATGGGAGAACATTTTTGCGATCTATTCATGTGACAAAGGGCTAATACCCAGAATCTACAAGGAACTTAAACAAATTTACAAGACAAAACCAAGCCAATCAAAAAGTGGACAAAGGATATGAACAGACAGTCCTCAAAAGAAGATACTTATGCAGCCAACAAACATGAAAAAAAGCTCCTCATCACTGGTCATTAGAGAAATGCAAATCAAAACCACAATGAGATACCAACTCATGCCAGTTAGAATGGCGATCATTAAAAAGTCAGGAAACAACAGATGCTGGAGAGGATATGGAGAAATAGGAACGCTTTTACACTGTTGGTGGGAGTGTAAATTAGTTCAACCATTGTGGAAGACAGTGTGGTAATCAAAGATCTAGAACCAGAAATACCATTTGACCCAGCAATCCCATTACTGGGTATATACCCAAAGGTTTATAAATCATTCTATAAAGACACAAGCACACATATATTTACTGGAGTACTATTTGCAATAGCAAAGACTTGGAACCAACCCAAATGCCCATCAATGATAGACTGGATAAATAAAATGTGGCACATATACACCGTGGAATACCATGCAGCCATAAAAAAGAATGAGTTCATGTCCTTTGCAGGGACATGGATGAAGCTGGAACCCATCATTCTCAGCAAATTAACACAGGAACAGAAAACCAAACATTGCATGTTCTCTCTCATAAGTGGGAGTTGAACAATGAGAACACATGAACACAGGGAGGGGAACATCACACACTGGGGCCTTTCGGTGGTTGGGGGGCTAGGAGGGGGATAGTATTAGGAGAAATATCTAATGTAGGTGACGGGTTGATAGTTGCAGCAAACCACAATGGCACCTGTGTACCTATGCAACAAACCCGCATGTTCTGCACATCTATCGCAGAACTTAAAGTATAAAAAAAAGTGAAAAAAATTTAAATCTCTTTGTTATATTTATCTAATACATTTCTGAGTTGCTTTTCCATGTTATTTTAAAGATCACTGAGTTTTCTTAAAACTGCTATTTTGAATTATTGATCAGAGAGCTCATCTACTCCCCTCTAGTTAGGGTCAGTCACTGGCAACTTAATCTGTCTGGGGAGGTCCTGGTTTCCTGTTCGCTATTGTTTCCTGTGGATGTACATCTGGTTTTGCGGTGAAAAATTAGCTATTTATTTGTTTTCTCTGCCTGGCTTGTTTTGATTTTTATTGGGTATGTTTGTTCAGAGATTTCTTTGCGATATACCTGTCTTTTTTGCTAGGTCACTGCCTCTTCTTGGTCTCTTTAAAGAATCAGCTTTTGGTTTCATCAATTTTTTTCCATTGTTTTTCTGTTTCAAATTTTATTGATTTTGGTTCTTATCTTTATTATTTAGCCCTTCTGCTTACTGTGGGTCTATTTCTTTTTTCCTTTAAAAAAAAGAAAATCTACTTAAACTTTGAGAAATATATTTACTTTCCCACATCAACAATTATGGATTATCATGTCATAATTATAAACGGCTAAGTCTTATACTTCCTCAGGAAAATATTGCACTATTCAGTGCTATGGATCCTACAGAGAATTTCAGTCCTTGGTCATAGTGTTAATAGCTCTTAGCTTCACAGCCCCATGAGCCTCATTGAAATGTCCTTTATTTTTTCTAATTTCTTAAAGTGGAAACTATATGATTGAGTTTAGACCTTTTAATTTTCTAATTAAATATTTAATGCTCAAGTTTCCCTGTGAGCACTATTTTAGCAAGGATTTTCATATGTTATATCACCATTTCATTCAGTTTAAAAAATATTTTTCAAAAATTTCTGTCAGTCTGTTGTTTGGCCCCTTGGTTATTTGAAGGTGTGCTTTTGATTTCCAGGTGCTTGGAGATTTAAAAATGTGTCATTTGGGTTTTTTTAACTTCTAATAGTTTTTCCACATCTGGGTTTTTTTAACTTTTAGTTCTAATAGTTTTTCCTTCATGTATTTTGGAGCTCTGTTAGGTGTATGCTCATTTAAGGCTCTTATGTTTTCTTGATTACTTTATCCTTTTTCTGTATAAAATAACTTATTTACATAATTTATATATATACATATATATATAACACAACCTCTTTAGAACAAGAAAATTTATAAATGACATGATTTTTTTTTGTCAAAGACTTCGTCAAGCAAGAGAGTACACATGGGCACTTTTGTTTCAAATAACATGATGGTAAACAATGGATATTAATATTTTTGTCATGCCTCAACCATTTACCGACAATTAGGCGTCAAACCCTCAGGTTGATCACTTGCTAAAACATAAGTGTTTAGGAGAAAAAGTGAAGAAAAGATGAAAACCATTAATCATATCTTCTTTAAGATTTATGAAATAAATTCTTTGCAACATCTTCTTTACATGAATCAGGCCTAACATAGTTCTTGCCACCATGTAAGGTAAATACACTGATTAACTTTCTGTTTTCCAAAATTAGGTTTAAGGATATAATGGTAGGATAATTTAGCTGGCTGACTTGATTCTCTAATACAATGAGTCCCTGTATTCTTTATATAGCAAGAAATTCTATCTTCCATAAAACTAGCTTATTGTATATTAAAAAGAGACAGTTGTTAAAGTTAAAAATTATTATTACACAAGGATAAATAATAGTTTAATCATGGCAATCTAACTCCCAAACTAACGTTAAGAGAATGAAATCTTTTCAGAATATGAGTTTTAAAAACTTACAAAAACAGGGTATTAAAATGGCAATGTGATTTACTACCATGATTTCTCTGACAGATTAATCACGAAATAAATGCCTACTTGTAGACAGTTTCCACTCAGAATTATATAGCCTCCTGTCTGACAAAATGATAAGCCATAAATTTCACTAAAAGACAATGAGAAAGAAGTGCTCTCATAGCAGTAGTTTCAATAAATTAGCATTACTGTTATACCTGCTGAGACATAATTCTCTTCTGTTAAGGAATTGAAAAACTGGCCACCATTTTTTCAATTTACAAACTTAATTATTAGACTCTAAAATATCTTCCCAATTGAAATACTGATCATTACATAATACAATGAACACAGTTCTAACTTTTAGGCACAACTCATGACTTCAGTGACAAATAACTCATACATACAGATATCAGCACCTTAGGGTAAGAAAATTTGGGGTCTAATATAGCGGTCAAACTAAAAGGCCAGTCCAGCAACAGTCCCTCATTCAAGTACTGTCCATGGCTTCTTTCACACTGAAATTGCAGAGCGGAGTAGCTGCCAGACAGACCCTCTGGCCTGCAAACCCAAAATAGTTTGCAGAAGGTTTCCAACTCCTGAGATAATATATTATCAATCCAAGAGGCTTTTCAAATAAAATCAGAGTAAATTTGCTGTTTGAGAAGTCTAAAGGGAACCACTACAGATCTGCTTGAGTAGATCGTAGAATTATACGTGTCAATCATCAAATCTTGAAATTAAAACCTTAAATTCATATTGATGATAATCACTAACTTTATTTTTATTTATTTATTTTTATTATTATACTTTAAATTCTAGGGTGCATGTGCACAACGGGCAGGTTTGTTACATATGTATACATGTGCCATGTTGGTGTGCTGCACCCATTAGCTCGTCATGTGCATTAGGTATTTCTTCTAATGCTATCCCTACCCCCTACCCCCACCCCATGTCAGGCCCTGCTGTGTGATGTGTTCCCCACCCTGTGTCCAAATGTTCTCATTGTTCAATTCCCATCTATGAGTGAGAACATGCAGTAAGTCTTATTTTCTATTTTTAACATCACGATTGTGTTCCATGCTTAAAGATCTAAGTGTTTCTTGAGAATTTAATGGTAAAAAAAATCTATGAAGAAATTGGCTTTTTAAAAACTATTATATGTCTGTGCGTGTACAAAGGAGATTGCGTTTTGTATGAAAATTTGTCTCATAAAGTTGAGTTTCCCCTACCCTCATGAAAATCCTGAGAATATCCCAGAAATAAGAAAAACAGAAAAATTCACAATACAAAGTCAATACATTAAATTTAGGGAAAAAAGTATTCCAAACATATACTGGCCAAACATTATTAGTTATATCATTTTAAATATATTTAAAAGTAAAGAGAAAAAGGAGACAAACATAAAATTGTTAATGCCTTCTTTATAATCTGAGGGGTGAAAATAGCTAAAACTGAATATCCTTTTAAATAAAAAATGTAAAAATAAATAAGCTCTTTGTTGTGTCATCTTTCGAAATAATTATGTTTAAATACTAGTTTTGTTTTTTTTTTTTTTTGAGGCAGAGTCTCGCTCTGTCGCCCAGGCTGGAGTGCAGTGGCGCGATCTCGGCTCACTGCAAGCTCCGCCTCCCGGGTTCCCGCCATTCTCCTGCCTCAGCCTCCCAAGTAGCTGGGACTACAGGCGCCGCCACCACGCCCGGCTAATGTTTTTGTATTTTTAGTAGAGACGGGGTTTCATTGTGTTAGCCAGGATGGTCTCGATCTCCTGACCTCGTGATCCGCCCGTCTCGGCCTCCCAAAGTGCTGGGATTACAGGCTTGAGCCACCGCGCCCGGCCACTAGTTTTTCAATTAGGACTCATGTTACATCACCATAAACTGAAAAAGTATGTGTTTTTCAGTCAGACAAACAGCTGATAATAGAAAAGTTATCTAACATTTACCATACTAAAGTGGAGTTTGACAATTTGTTTTCATATACAGTCATGTGTCCCTTAACTATATGTTCTAAGAAATGTCTTGTTAGGTGATCTTATGTGGAACAACGCTGAGTGTACTTACAAACACTGAGATGTACAGACTGCTGCACACCCTACAGACCGAGGCTATGTGGTATAGCCTATCACTCCTTGGCTACAAACCTCTATAGGGTGTTACTGTGTTGAATACTGTAGGCAGTTGTAATGCAATAGTAAGTATCTGTGTATCTAAACAGGTCTAAACATAAAAGAGCAACGCACTATGTTATGATAGCTATAATGTCACTAGATGATAGGAATTTTTTATCTCCATTTTAATTGTATGGGACCACTGTCATATATGCGATCTGTCATTGACTTAAACATCATGTGAAAAATGACTGTACTTAGAAGCAACTGAAAAGGTCTTCATCCTTCATCATCTTCCTCTAAAAATAAAAATAAAAAAATCTTCACAAAAGAAGTTTCTAAACATTAAATATGATACAATCAACCCCCAAATCTGTCTGCAATGCAATTCATACAGAGACATATATCCACAACATTCCCAAATGTCCATGTGTGCTTAGCACAGGAAGAGTCAAATTGTAAACCAGAGTTGTTATTTCTGTCTGAGAAAGCAGTCTTAATTGCTTGCTCTTTGCAAAATGCTAAATCAATCAGAATGAAAGGAACCTCGGGAATGTTTTCCACTGATTACAAAAGCTTCAAATCAAGCTCATTAAATATTCAAAATCAACCTAAAGAAAAATAGACATCGATGTTTTGCTCTAAATACTGTTTTGTTGATGTAATTGACTCTGGAAATCCTAGACTTAATTTAAAAAAGAAAAAGACAAAAGATTGTTTTATTCTGTTTCATCCACTTCAATGAAGACATCATTGAAGAAATATTCAGAGACCGTGGTTGGCTTCCCTTCAGGGGCCTCTTTTGGCCACTTTTGTGTCTTTCTTTCAGTAAGGGCTGATCGCAAAAAACCCGAGTTGATGAGCTGCTAATATTCTCAGATTGAGTATTAATAACACTTGGAGATGCAAGCGGATCAGAGGACTCCTGCTTCTTTTTCTGGCTTTCACTGGATGGATTGGATCTTTTCAGATTCTGTCTTAGTGCAGGTATAAGAGGCTTTCGGCGTTTCTTACTATAGACCTGAGTAGGTCCATCAGATTCCAAACTATTCTTTGAACACATGAAAGATAAAACATCCCAAGGGTCTTCTGCCAGGTCTGGATAGTGGGGCTTTTGAAGATGATGTTCTGCTGTCCATTTGCTCAGACTTAGGAGCAGTGTCACTTTCTTCCTTATCAGACACAATCATTTCATTCTGAGGTAACTGAGGCACAGTCTTGTCTATGCGTGTATCGGGAGATCTAGATCCTGTACTCCGAAAAGTTGGTTCAACTTGCTCTGTTTGAGGTTCTGGAGGTTTTTGGTTCAACTTGCTCTGTTTGAGTCAATGTGCTTCCTGAGGTAGGAAAAGTATCTTGTCCCTTGCGAGACTCCCCTGTTTCCTCAAAAACATTTGTTAATTCCTTTGAGTGCACCTCAGAGCTCTGTGCTTGACAATCATCTCTTAAAGTGAGTGAACAGTTTTTGGCAGGAGGAACGTGGTCATTTTCATCAAGCCTGCAATGATCTTCCTAGATACAAGATCCAAATTATCAGGAAGCTTTTTAGAATCCCCTCTTTCAAAAATAGATAAACCCATGTCATCTTGACCAACTGAAGTTGCTGGGAAATAAATACTCATGCCACCCCTTCAGTATTCACGGATTTGACCAATACAGGAGCTGGCAGTGAAGGGTTTGGCATTAACTGTGTGGTGGCTTCGGTTATTTCTTCTACTCTCCATTAGTTTAATGGAAAAAGGAGATTGGTTGGATTTCCACCAGAGTTAAAATAAATGCTTGTTCATCTTCTCCATCTTGAGGTACATTAGCAACTGGATTCACTGTTAGGTCTTGAGGACTGATTATATTTTCTTGTTGGACTTCTGGAATACTTATTGGTGTTTACCCTGGCACAGGAAGTGTAAGCACATTGTCTCCTTTAGAGTCCTTTATCTGGGGCTTTTCAAAAGAATTTTCACCAAGACCCCTCGGCAAACCAAGTGTGCAGGGCTGTGTCTCAGAGGAAGCCATTGGAGCAACTGACAACACTTGAGCCTCTTGAGAGCTCTCTTGATTTTCATTTCTCTCAGTTAGGTTTACTTCTTGAGAAATCCTGGTCCCTTGGGTACCACGTACACATGCCAATTTGCTCTGTTCTTTATTCTCTGCTGTTGTAACTGGTCTGAGGTTTTTATCTTCTAGTTCTGTTGCTTTGGAAGCATTTTTCTCTGTTTCTCTTTGAGTTTCCAGTTCTTCCCCATTGGTTGCACAGAAACTGGAAACTTCCTGATAATCATCAAACCTGTTGGTCCCTAAAATCTTCTCAAGATTTGGTTTAGGCTTGGCAAATCTACTTCTTATTCTCAAATTACTGGTCACTTTAGAAGTTGTATTCCTGGTTGGTGTAGCATTCTTCTTTACTTTCTCCGTTAAACTAATTTCTTCTCTGGAACTTTGTTCCTCCAATACAATCTTGTTTTCTTCAAATGATGAGGGAGATGTAGTAATGACAGATGAAGAGAGCTCCTGACATTCATGAACAATTTTGTGATTTATATTATCTAGGCTAAAAGGAATATGGCTTTTATTCTTTGAATGAACATGAGGGAGTATACATACTCCTCCATCACCCCGTTCAGTACTGATATCTGACTGCAGTACTGGATCTCCCATTGCAGCTTCGGTGCTTCCATCATTAGTACCTGGTTCATCTTGGATATGTTCACCTACATGTGTGTGTGTGTGTGCATGTGTTTTATCCCTGGTAACTTTTTTGTTCTAAACTTGATTTGTTTTAATATTAATAGAGACACTCTAGTTTTCTTTTGCATTGTGGATATTTGTCCTTTCATTTAATATGCCTATACCGTTATAGTTAAAGTAAATTTTCTTAAGGCAGAATCCACTTGGATCTTGTTTTTTGTTTTTTTTTTTAAGTCAACCCAGCAATTTCTGTCTGTTAGTGTCATTAGATCTCTTAATTTAATAATCGAAATGTGTTTAGACCTATTGTTTTATTATTTTATTTTTATTCTTTTTTATTTTTCTGACCTCCTCTCTTTGCTTTCTTTTTCATTATTTGAACCTGTACATTTATATGTATTTTCCTATTGGTTCTTTTTCTCTGGGGATCTCTGACTAATTCATTTTTTTCTTTTTTCAATATCAGTTTTGCTTTCAAAGCCTTTGCTCTGTTGTTTAGAAATATTTTCAGAGTTTTAGCCACTGTCCTTGGCACACAGTGCTGTTGACTGGTCCTACCTGCAGGGTGAAGCAAGGAGAGAAAATGAATAGAAAAAAAGGATTTTTATCCTCCTCAATCTTTGTACAACTAGAGCTTCCTTTTATGGCTGTTCTCTTTAATGGGTGGGTTTTCTCTTACGATTTGTGTGTAGTGCAACTCTGTAACTGAGGCAGCCCTCATGGCAGGCCTGGAGAGAGAGACAGAGAGGGAGAGAGAGAAAGAGAGAGACAGAGGGAGAGAGAGAGGAAAAAATAATTTCTCCCATTCTCTGGAAGCTCAGAGAAGCCCATTGTTCCAGTTCTCTGTTGATAAGGACAGTCTCTTCTTAAGATTTTGTTGTCCATTTGTATTGTTCAGTGACCTGCCTTAGCCAGCCTATGCTTGGGTCAAAGCTGGAGATAAAAGAAAAACACAAAACAAAACAGAAACAAAACAAAACAAAACAAGAAATGCACTGTGGTCTGCTTGCTGTTATTTTCGATAGATCAGTATTTGTATTTTGTTTGTGGTTTTTAGTTGCACTTTGTGGTATCCATAGTTTGCAGTGAGTTACTCCATTTTGGGTAGAGTTAGAAACTTGAATCCTTTATTTTTAAAAAATTATTTAGCAATTTGGGATTATTTCACAACTCAAAAGCAATGAATGATTGAAATTATTTCTGAATCTTTAATGACACCTTACTTCTAAGGAAAATCCATGAAATGTGTTAAGTGTAGAATTAGGAAATTTCATTTTCAGCTTTTATGACATCACCAGTGTAATAATTTTCCAAAACAAACGACATCATATTTCTTACATTTGAAAATTTTTTTCTCTGACTACAATAAAACAATAGGTAAATCATTGTGAATACAAGTAATTAATGCCTTTAGAGAGATGAACAAGGAACAACTACTTGGTTGGAAAGATCTTGAGTGTATGGCTACTGTTAGCACAGAGGCTGAAGATGTTTAGTTTACGTGTATTATTTTCCTTCTATTCTAATAAATGTCACAAAACAATACTAAGTAGCATAATCTACTAGTGCAGTATGGAACATATATCTTGTGGAAATACATTGCCCAACAGAGGCATTGTATGGTGTATAAAATAAAATAAAACATAATAAAAGAGAAACAACTAATGATTTTGGATCTGAATTATAGTGTTTTCCATCTTTAAGGCTAATAAAGAATTTTATGATGAGAATTTTCAGACCATTATATATATATTTTCATGAATATTGATAATAAATAGTAGGCTAAAAGCCCTTTTACATACAGTGGGTTAAATTAGGTTTAATGTTGTATATTCCAGAAATAAGGTAATAAAATGAGTTCATTCCAGACCCCCTAGAAAATCAGTGATATAGCATCTTACCTTGTGATCAAACCTGGCAACAAACAGCCTAGCCCCAAAACACAGAAGGAGATTCTTTTAACGAACAATAATGCTTACCTTTTAAAAAAAACGTAATTTCAGCTTTTACTGTAGATACAGGGGGTTGTGTAGGTTTGTTACATGGGTATATTACGTGATGCTAAGGTTTAGGGTACAAATGATCCGGTCACCCAGGCAGTGAGTACAGTCCCCAAGAAGTAGTTTTTAAGACCATCCCCTACTCCTTTCCTGCCTCTTCTAGAAGTCTGCAGTGACTGCTGTTCTCAGCTTCATGTCCCTGTGTGCTCAATGTTTATCTCCCACTTATAAGCGAGAACATATGGTATTTGATTTTCTGTCCTGCATTCATTATTTTAGGATTATGGCCTCCACCTACATCCATGTTGCTGTAAAGAACATGATTTCATTCTTTTCAAGGCTGTGTAGTAGTCCATGAGGTATAGGTACCATATTTTCTTATTCAATCCACCATTGATGGGCACCTAGGCTGATTCTGTATCTTTGCTATTGTAAATCATTCTGTGATGAACATGGAGAGTCTTGTCTTTTTGGTAAAATGATTTATTTTCTTTTGGATATATACCCAGTAATGGGATTTCTGGCTTGAGTAGTAGCTCTGTGTTTAGTTATTTGATAAATCTCCAAACTGCTTTCCACAGTGGCTGAACTAACTTACATTCCCCCAGCAGTGTGTAGGCATTCACTCTTCTCTGCAGCCTTGCCAGCATCCATTACTATTTGACTTTTTATAATAGCCATTCTGTCTGGTGTGAGATGATAGCTCATGGTGGTTTTGATTTGCATTTCTCTGAGCGTTAGTGACGATGAACATTTTTTCATATGTTTGTTGGCTGCTTGTATTTCTTCCTTTGAGAAGTGTCTGTTTATGATCTTTTCTTACTTTAGACTCACATGTTGTTAACCTGCCCCGTGTAACAAGGAAACCGTGAAATGCTTTCAGGTGCTCAATACGTAAGTGTATGAAGGTACCGAAAGCAACATTATAAATGTAATGATTTAACTCGCTGAAAACTAAAAGTCATGTCAGTTCTAATTTTGATAAAAAATTTGTTTAAAGAATAACAAAATATTACTATTTTTCAAATGAGGGTAATTGTCAATTTTAGATTAAATGATGTTTAATAGCATATCATATATTAATGGAAGGTATGATTTGACATAAAATAAAGCTTAGTTCATGAAAATCAAGGTTTTTTTTTTTTTTAAATAGTAAATCATGTTCAAATTGAATTTATTTTGTAAATGTAAGAATGTCTAGGCCGGGCGCAGTGGCTCACGCCTGTAATCCCAGCACTTTGGGAGGCTGAGATGGGCAGATCACAAGGTCAGGAGATCAAGACCATCCTGGATAATATGGTGAAACCCCATCTCTACTAAAACAAACAAACAAACAAAAAAAAACAACAATCGGGCATGGTGGCGGGCGCCTGTAGTCCCAGCTACTTGGGAGGCTGAGGCAGGAGAATGGTGTGAACCCAGGAGGCGGAGCTTGCAGTCAGCAGAGATAGCATGACAGCACTCCAGCCTGGGAGACACAGTGAGACTCCGTCTCAAAAAAACAAAGTCTTAAAGTTAGGATTTATCTTACATTACTCATTATTGTTGTCTTTGGAGAAAAAATATCATCACATAAACCTTGACCAGGCATTTTAAAAATACCAGCCATTAAAAAAAAAATCTATCGTTGATAAATAAATCCACAATAGAAAGATCCATTTTTTTTAAAGGAGAATGTACACACATCTCAAAGCCTAACTTGTTATCTTTTAAATATGGTAATAACCAAACCTTGCACAGTTCTTGAAGAGTACAGGCTAGGTTCCAGGTAAATATCAGAATAGAAAGATGAATAAGATCTCATGTCTGCTTTTGAGAAGCTTCTCCTGCAGATTCTTATAGTCCTAGTTCTGCTGTGGTTTGTGAATGGAGTAGCAGGATCACAGAAGAAGGAATCATCTCTGCTGACTTTTAGAGAGGATGATGCATAATGAAGGTATTTGTTTTTTAATTATCATAGTACCTAATGTCATTTTTTTTGCAAAAATAAATTACTAAAGACTTGTAAACTAGGTCAGTTGCCGTGGCTCATACGTGTAATCCCAGATGTGAGCCACTGTGACTGGGAGGCTGAGGCAGGAGGATTGTTTGAGTCAGGAGTTTGAGTCTAGCCCACGCAATATAGTGAGACCTTGTCTCTATAAAAAATACAAAAAAAAAAAAAAAAATAGCCGGATGTGTAATGCTTGCCTATGGTCTCAGCTGCTTGGGAGACTGAGGTGGGAGGTTCACTTGAGCCCAGGAGGTTGAGGATGCAGTGAGCTGAGGTTGCACCACTGCACTCCAGCCTGGGCAACAGAGCAAGATCCTCTCTCAAAAGCCAGACCAAATCAAATTAAAACAAATAAAAACACTTGAAACCTAGCAGAGCCAACAAATATATAGCATCTTCTATAGATTTTTAGCTTCCAGTACTAATAAGGGCATCCTGGAAGGGTGATCCTCCATGTTTTCTACATAATGGTTTCAATATGCTCACTGGTTTGAGTCTTTACTGAGTAGGTTGTCATTTGGGCCTGCGTGACCTCTCCTGATTTTGAATTGTAATAATAAAATAATTGTGTTATGTTTTCCATTGTGAGGTTCCCCATGCGTTTGAACACAGAAAGCATTATTGGAGATTTCCACTTGTGACCAAGGAAACTCAATTAGGTTTTACCTTTAATTTTTTATGTCGTTGTGGCTGGTGTAATGAAAAGGTTGTCCAAGCCTTTGAAACAAAAGTGCTCGTCTTTGCTCTTTCTGTGTTTGTGGAATCTTTGCTCTGTCTGTGTCTAAGGAACACTGCCATTTTGTGGATCAGAGCATGTAAAAAGCCAAAGAAATGAGAAAAACTATTTGAATGTCATGTCTCTCCCCAAGCAGTAACATTAACGTGTTAATGCAATAAGCACTTTTACCAAATTTGCTTATTGAGGCACCTCCTGCAGGCGTGACACTGTGACGGTCTTGGATGCCCCAGGATCCCTC